CAGTTCCTCTGCTATAGCCTCTTTTCTGGAATCCTCGTGTGCCCTTGGTGGTTTTCTGAAGATCTGTTCCCATTCTCCCTTCATAATACATCTGTTGGGAAGGGTTCATAAGCTACTTCAGCACAGTGAAGCTACAACAAGTCACACAGTCCTAAAAAAATAAAAACGGAATTTCTCTTCAAGGTACTCTTAGTCTATAGCTTTAAGTTTTCTTACAATCTGTACCTTGTTGTTAAATGATGTTTATTGTCATTACAAGATAAAAGCATGGGAGCAAGAGAGATGGCTTGGAGGGTAATGTGCTTGCTGTTGGCGGGCATGGGGCTTGAACTTTAGATCTCTAGCACCCATATAAAGACTGGGCAGGGATGGAAGCACAGCTTTGTAGCCCCCAGGAAGAGGAGGCAGGGGCTCCCTAGAGCAGCTGATGAGCCAGCTCTAGGTTCAGGGAGAGAGTGCTACAGTATTTGAGGCAGAGGACAGCTGAGAGAGACCCCTGATCTCAAGCCACGCCTCCATATGTGCACATACCCATGTGCTTGTGTGCTCTCACACACACATGACCTCTTTCCTCCTCCTCCTCCTTCTCCTCCTCCTCCTCCTCCTCCTCCTCCTTCTCCTTCTCCTCCTCCCCCTCCTTCTCTTCCTTCTCCTTCTTCTTTTCCTTCTTCCTCCAAATCTCAATTGCCTTGTTACTCTATCTCCTGTGAGTGTCCATACACATGTGGACACCTGCCACATACACATGCAAAAGGAAAAAGAAGAAAAAAAGCCTGTGAACGTAACCTTGTTTTTAAAAGAAAGAGGTGCCTAATTTTGAGACTGTATGGGAAGCTTGTGTGAGAAGATCCATGGGAGAGATGGGATGCACGGCTGAGAGAAACGTTCCAAGCGGCCAAGCTAATGATCGTGCAGGTTTAGGTGGAGGCAGAGGAACAGCTTCAAAAGCCTGAAGCTGAAAGTCATTTAGGAAGCACTCCTGATAGTCAAAGGCAGCTGTGGTGGAGCTGCAGCACGGCAGAAGCAAGCCCAAAGGAAAAGATTGGAATTTCAATCTGAGCAGCATTAAGGAATGGAATTTTGTTAGTGATTCCGTTACTGTGGTAAATGCCTGAGAAAATAACCTGAGAAAAGGAAGGATTCATTTGGCTCTTGATTTCACATGACCCAACCGACCGCGGTGAGGAAAGCCCGGTGAAACAAAGCTCACGTGGCAGCAGGAAGCCGGCAAAATCTACTCACTGGCTTCATCCTTCCCCACCTTAATCCATCCGAGCTCCAGAGCCTATGTGATGCTGCTGCCGCCTACGTTTGGAGCATGATCCTTTCCCCCGTTTATTCCTCTATGGAAATGCCAGTAAGGATATTCCCGGAAGTGCGCTTTTTACAAGTCTCCCAACTCCTCCCATCTCCTTGTGACAGGCATTCTTATCTTTGGCACCCAGCCATATCATTTAACTCACAGCATTCCATCCTGGTCCCCCAAAGGCCCACATTTATCTCAAATAATGCACAATGCATCCTGTCCATCTCCAAGTGTCCCCGGGCTCCCGACAGTTCTGTATTGCTCCATAGTTTAGTACAAACTGCCCTTGAGATTCAAGGCAAATTTTTTAGCAATGAATCCCTATAAAATAAAAAAGCAAGTTCTATGCTGCACATATAGAATCGTACAGAACAAACATTTTCATTTTACAAGGGAGGTATGGGAGCATAGAAAGGAAGAGAGGGGTCAAAGAAAGACTAAACTCCAGCAAGGAAGCATTAAATCTATGGTTCCACTCTAGAAACCACGAATGTTTGGTGTGATGTAAACTCCAAAGGCGGTGGGAAGCCCCGCCCCCATGAGGCTAGCCCCCATGGCTTTGTCTGAGGCTCGCTCCAGTCGCTGCCTGTGGTTTTCCTTGCAGACATTCCACATTCCCCGAGATCTCCAATGCCCATTTGTCTTCCGTTTCACTGCTCTGTGCATCATCCACTTAAGAGCTGCTCATGGGATCCTGAGCCGGTCGTAGGTTGCTTGGCCTGCCAGGCTTTCCTTTAAAACATCTACAGAAGCCTCCGCGACAGTATGATGCTTGCATTTCGCGTCGCTGCTCCATCAGCTTAATGGACAACGCCAAGGTTTCTAGGTGAACCGTGACTGAGCTATTATCATACCACAGCTGCAGCTGGCTCTGACTCATTGAGAGGAGTCTTCACTCTGCACCCATCAACCTATGACTTCCTAAGCGCCACCCGATTCACCCATTCTACTCCGGGAAAAGCATCCTAAGGCCTTTTGAAAAATACCCCCTCAATAAAAACAGCTCCAAAATCTTCCGAACCTCCGAATGTGGGAGAAAGCAGTCACGGCCCCCACTCCTGCTAGAAGTATTCTGGATTAGTCACTCACTCCATTACCGTATCAAACATCTGTCCCCAAAGTCCAAATTTGGGCTAATCTTCTGGGTCCCTGTTCCCTGGATCAGGGCGTTCCTTTGCCCAGGAGAACATCTACATCATTGCTTTTACAGTAGGGTTTGCTAAAGTCTTTTGTCCAGGCCTCTGTCTCCCATAGTTATTAATGGGGTTACCTTAGTCTTTGGAGGGTGTGGTGTTCAATTACTAGTCCTGTGTTGTCATTTTGAGTTGTCCAAAATGTTGGCTGGCTGCTGCGGGGAAACAGGTGCTTCACTCTCACGGGGAACAGTGTAATAGAAATTGCACTTCGGCCACAGACAGTGAGCAACATCCTCCTTCAGCACCTCTGGAGGTGGGCATAGTTGCCAGAGCAGCCCATGTTGTCTCTCTAGCCGGAGTGCTACTGCCCCAGGCTGTTTGCTCTCCCTCGTAGGCTGTTGCATTTGCAGCTGCCCAGGGTCTAGCAGGTTTGAATTCTGATCCTGTCTTACCATTGCCACAACCTGCAGGGTTTCCTGTCTGAATGCTGTCTCGTGGGACTTGCTGTTGGAAGTAGAGTTTTCAAGTGGTTAAAGCCTCTGATGGCTCAACCACTTAATGGCAGATGGTCTCTTAAAGCTAGGTTTCAGTGTGGAAAGCGTTTCTAAGATTTGCTCATGGTGGCATATGTGTGCTTCTGGACTGCTGGTTTTTCCTTGATGGATACTGTGGAATTTCCTTACTCATTGCCATAATAGTGCAAATTCAGGAACTTGCTTTTTCCACTTACTGGTAATTATCTGTCTATATGTCTCACTAGGCTCTATAAGGTGGTGTTTGGAAGTGGATTTGCTTAATTAATGACTTTTAACAGACGTTGAACTGTAATAGGCATGCATTGTCAACAAAATGAACAGTTATAATTCCAACAGCAGTGCAATTAGGAGCATTCTGTTTTCTCTGCCTCAACAATGTAGAACTGCGCACTTGCTACTTTGTGGATATAAAAGGATACATATGGCCTTTGTATTTTCTCAATGGCTGCATGAACTCAGTTTTTAGGGTTGGATTAGTGTTCCTCACAGTTGCATGTTTGAAGTTCCTCAATCTGTGATGTCATTTGAAGATGATAAAACCTTTAAGAGGTGGCGGTAAGTCGGAGGTTTTCCTTGGAAAGGGATATTGGGATCTCAGCCTCCATCTCTCTTGCTTCTTGGAGTGCTGCCTGACTTACTGTGAGCTTTTCACCATGACGCTCTGCCTTCCTTTTGGCTCTGAAGGAATAGATGCACCTCCTTTCAGGTTGATTATCTGTTATATTTTGTTACAATGTCAGAGAGCTAACAGTCCGGTGAATAGAATGAAACAATATGAGGTTTTCTGAGCTTGGATTCTGGTCAGTAAAAAGCATTTCCAATTTATCCATCTTGTTGAAGAAATCAGTACTTTACTCCCCTTCTCTTATTGTTGCAAGTATGTAATTTTGTGGATACCTCAGGCTGCTTTGTCTACAAACTGTTGAAGCATGCTGCTTTCAGTTTGGGAGAAAGGTGTTAGTTCGTGCACAGAGGTTTTAGGAGAATGTATGTTTCCCATCCACTTTAGTAAATACTTAGACATGGGGTTTTCTGGTCAAATGCAATCATTTTCTTTACTCTACAGAAAGCTGTTAAACGGTTTCATCTGTGTTCATGCCCACAATGTAGGAGTGTTCTGCTGCACTACCCTCCAGTGTGAACATCAGCTTTTATATTCAGCATGGTGTTACCAGGTATAATTATGTTTCCCAATGACTGCTGGCATTGGGCATCTTTTCAAATACTTTACTTATGTCTTCAAAGGTTTTGCTTCTGGTGGTTGAGCTTTAACTGTCCTTTCTGTATTTCTCTCTCTGATCAAGAGAGCTATAAAACACACCCCTTGGCCCAACCTGGCTATGCCAGTGTTCCTTTGTCCAACATGCAGGTGCACCAATGTATGCATACCAGCAGGTGGCGCTTCTAAAACAGTTTAACTCCTGATGTTTGGACTCACATGAAGCTCTGGAATTGGGAAGGAAAGGCAGACCCTAGGAGGAAGAACAAAGACCTCAGGGTGTTTGCAATATTGAGTAAGGTGTAGTCATAACATAAGCAGACATGGCCTTGGCCCTCTCTCGATTACCATTGCTGACATACTCAGCAGGTGTATAGATGAGACAAAGTCACTAAAAGTAATTGTTGCAATTGGAGTTTCTGTAAAAAGTCTGGGGATGGACTGATGAAAGTGAACAGTTGCAAAGGCACAGGTTTGTCTTTGCTGGGGAGGTGCATAAAGCATCGAACAGTGGAACAGGACTGGTATGTATCCCAGACAGTGCAACAAAAACATGATGGTGATGTTTATCCCTGTCCTCTTATAGAGCAGGACCACCAGTGTATCTGCAGATTGCCAACTGACAAACTGTGGTTGCTAGCCATCGTGAGGCAGTCCGGGCAGTTGCTATCAACGTTGTCACCAAGCACACTGTTTATATAGTTACTGCGGTTTTGCTTTCTATGTTTTCAGGCACCTGTGGTCAATGGCAGTCCAAAAATATTAAACAGAAGATTATAGGAAGGAACACCTCAGAAGTTTTAAGTTGCATACAACTCTGAATTGCAAATTTAAATCTAGCTTTTCTGCATTCTGTCTCCCGCCCCAGGAACATCAACCATTCCTATGCATGACTGTGCATTCAGACCTTAAGTAGTCTCTCAGTTAGCAGATCATCTCAGAATCATGGCACCTGATCTCAGGTAACTTCCATTTCTTAACAATGTCCCAAAATGCAAGAGGGGTGATGACGAGGGCAATTTTATTATTAAATATTGTAACTGTGCCATTTTAATGCTATTTTAAATCTCTTACTGAACTTAACTAATAATTTAAATTTTATCAATGAATAAGAAAAATACAATAATAATAAAAATAAAAATAATGTATAAGAAACAACATGGTGTGTGTGAATTTGGAACTATTCACCATCTCAGGTGTTTGTTGGTCTTGGCATGTGTCTCCTCTAGTTAAGGGAAACTGCTTGGAAATTGACCAAGTCAAACTATTTTGATAAAAGAAACAGGGAATCGGTCTACAATCTGTCATGAACTTCTCATTCATACACATGTGTGTATATCTGTAAAAAAAACTTTGCTGAAATCTTGCTTGTATCCACCTGTAGCATGCTACAGAACTTTTATTTATTTTTTATTTGTTTGTTTTTGGTATTTGAGACAGGGTCTCACTATGTAGCTCAGGCTGTCCTGGAGCTCACAGTGTAGACCAGGTTGGCCTTGAACTCACAGAGATCCACTTGCCTGTGCCTCCCACGTATTGGGGTTAAAGGTGAGCACCACCACTATTCAGCAGCGACAATGCTGTTAAAATTTCTTTTCTGCTTTTCAGAGGGAGCTGATTGTGGCTGTGGGTTGATTCCAGCTAGTCTAACAGAAAGGCACTGGGAGTATTTCCGAAGTCCTGCACCACGGAGCTAGACTTAGGTGTCTGGTAAGGACTCATTTTTTGGCCAGTCTCTCAGTGTGTCCTCACATTGCAAAGGATAAGAGAGATTTCTGGGGTCTCTTCTACAAAACACTGATCCTTCAAACCTATGACTGAATCACCTCCCAATGCCTCATGACTTAGCATTTTCACACTGAGGACACGAATATGTGAATTCTTTTCTCATAACAATGGCTTGCTGACTTGGTGTCATGGCTCACAGTGGGTTAGGGTAAACCACTTGAAAAGGGGTATGTGTGTGTGGGGGCATCCCTTATCCAAAATGGTTTGGACCAGAAGTGTTCAATGCTTCTGTGTTTCTTCTCTTCCTCCTCCTCCTCCTCCTCCTCCTCCTCCTCCTCCTCCTCCTCTTCTTCTTCTTTGTACATACACACACACACATACACACACACACACACACACAATGAAAAGCTTAGGGTTCTGGACCCAAATATGATGTGAAATTAATTTGTTTCATATGTACCTTACATCCATAGTCTGAGATAACTTTATAAAATACATTTAAGTACAGCTGTGTTCGAACTATGAACCATCTCTTGAGGTGAGACTGAGGTCAGGTGTGTCGTTTTCTACCTGGTCCATTATTTGTGCCCCTAGGAAACTTTAGATTTGGGGGCAATTTGGATTTCAGCATCTGGATTAAGGATACTCAACCTATGCTGGCAATTTCCTTGGGTTCTTCAGTTCTAATGTTCTCTGAGTCTCTAAAAATAAATGCGAACACCAACAAAAGCCTCCCAGCCCAATCCCTTCAGTCTGGACCAGAAGACTGGGAGGCAGCTCAGGGGATGAAGGAGTCAGCTCTTACTGAGGTCATTGTGTGAAAGCTGAGAATGGGAGTAGGGAATTGCCTTCAGGTTCCACCAGGAATCTTGTGACGCCTTTCAATGCCATGCTTCACAGAGAGCAAACGATGGAGCATGTACAGAGAAGCCAAAGTGGTAAAGGCCAGCAACTCAGAATATTTAATTACACTTGAAAAAAAGGTCTATATGCAAATATATGTAAATAAGTAAACCAGGGCAGTAGGTTGCTAAATTCATGGAATTACCTTTCAGGACCAAAACGGATCTTGGTCTGTTTGCTAGAAGGATCACTTCACTAGAGTTCTTATTTTTTGGTGTTTTAGAGTAAAACCTTGCAAAGTTACTGTGCCTGCCATTCCCTCTCACGAGAAGCTGCAAAATACAGGCAGGAAAAGAGCCCCTCCCAGGGCAAGCAGAGGCGCTCTCAAGCTTGGCCGCTTGTTGGCAGGCCTTTTGCCCAGCTTCAAAGGGGCTGGAAGGGTGGTGACAGGCTCCAGCCTTGGAATGCAGACACTTCTCAGTGGAGGGCCAGGCTCAGCCCTGTGGGAAAGCCCCTGGTTCCTGCCCCTCTGAACTGATAGGAAACGCTGGCCTGGTGCTTCCCCTCCCTTCCTGGCCCTGGTGAGATGTGAGTCAGGGAAGGGGGCAGTGAAAGATCAGAGCAGGCCTTCCCAGGGGCCCTCCAGACCCAGGAACAGCGCGTGCGCTCCCTGGGAAAGGCGGCATCTGATGGACACAGTTGCAGCAGGGTTGTGGAGGAAGGAAAGCGGGGAGAGGAGCCCAGCACCATCCAAAAGTTCAGTTGGGAGATTGGGAGTGAAAGAGGGCCGCCCTAACCAAGGGGGAAGAGTGAAATCACACACAGCGCGGAGAAAGGATGGGTATTTCTGATGAAAGTGTGTTCGTGCCTCACAGTTGGAGCTCGAAGGGGGTTGGAACGGTGAAAGTAGAATCTTAATTTCCACCACCTGTTGTTACCTGATGCTGGCTCTAGAACTTGGACATTTGGTCACGACAAAGAGTTGAAATGGCTCTTGTGGGTATTGAAAGGGCTGTGGTCCTGGATGCAGGGTGTGCTCCTTCATTATCTCAGACTTCATTTGACTCGTAGACTGTAGCTGAGAGATGTGCTTTGCATGGCTCCTTCAGTAGACGCAAACATGTTAATGAAGTCCGTTTTCTCGTTCTGCCGATTTCCACACAGCAGGTGTGCAATGATATTATTACTATTTCTCACACGTGTGTTTGAACCTAAGGTTTTACACACATGACAAGTACTCTTCTGCTGATCTACACCCCAGCCTCAACAATAGCATTATCGGGTAATAATTATTACTTACTTAATAATAATAATTATTTAATAATAATTATTGAGTATTGAGTAATAGCTCCTCTGATCCAGTTCTTTTTCACCTTGCAGAGGGTTAACCTGAGCTCAGTGGGAGCAGAAAGAATTCCAGAAGCAGCATAGCAGCCACAGGCTGGCCATCCACGCCTTCCCTCCTGTACCCCCCCCCCCCAACTGGTCAAGAAATGGTGCTTCAAATGTAAAGGTTCTTCCAGGTACAATCGTGCTCCGTAACTACATTCCAAGGTAATGTTTGAAGGGACATAGCCTCTTATATGTTCTGTTTTGCCAAAAGATATTCCTGAATTGAAAACAAAAGCAAACAGAATGCAACATTGTCCTAAGTACTAAAATGAACAGGAGACCACAAAATAATAGCAGACCCCTCCCCCCACCAAACTGGGTGAAAATAGGCGAAGGACCTGAACAGACTTTTTCTTCAAATGATTGGCACCGTGGATCATTAAAAAAAAATGCTAACAATGAGACGTCCCCTCACACACAGGATGATTGTCATTAAAAGCCGCCACAGACTTGCAATGATGTGAGGAAATTGAAATCTTTGTATTCTGCTGGAGGAGGGAGTGTGAAATGGCCCAATAGCTACAGAAAATACTGTAGAGATTCCTCAGAAATTGTGAATAGAGATACTATACACTAGCAACCTCACATCTGGGTGTAGCTAAGAGTTGAAGTTTAGGATATGATCATGTCTGTGTGCTATGTTGTCATCATAGTCAAGAAGCAAAAACAATGATGTGCCTACTGATAGCAGAATGGAGAACCCCCATCTATAATATTATAATGTATACATATAGATGCAGGTATTTATATGCGCACTTTTTTGCCTGCATTCATGACAGTGCTGGGGTATCAGATCCCCTAGAACTGGAGTTTCAGACTGTTGTGAGCTACTTGTAGGTGCTGGGAATTGAACCCGATTCCTCAGGAAGAGCACTGGCTAATGTTCTTACCTGCTGGGCCATCTCTTCAGCCCCATGCATGTATTTATAACCCTTCTCTCTATAGAGTAGAAAATTCTTCGGTCATTAGAAAGGAAACTTTACCTCTTGGAACAGCACCAGTGCACCCAGAGCATACTATGACATACTATGACATACTATGAGGGGTAAGCCAGGCAGCAAAGGGCAGGTAACCACACAATCCATTTAGGCACGGGATCTGAAGCAGTCAAGATCAAAGGTGTAGACAGCAGAATGGAGGATGCTGGGGATAGGCTGGAGGATGGAGGAATAATTTTTCATTTTTGTTGGGTAAATAATTTCCAGCTATTTGCTGTATAAACATAGTGTCTCTAATCACTAATTGTATGATTAAAACTTTGTTTAAGGAGCCTGGAATGTGGTGCATGCCTGTAATACTAGTACTTGGGAGATAAAGAGAGGAGGATCAGGAGTTAAAGGCTAGCCTTGGCTATATAAAAAGTTTAAGTCTAGCCTAGGATACATGAGATCCTGTCTCATAAAAAGTTAAGATATATATATATATATATATATATATATATATATATATATATATATATATATATATATGTTATTCTCACAATGATTCTCCCAATTAAATATAAGGATACAAGGAGGAGGTTGTTGGACATATTTATTATCTTGAGTGCAATAATGGCTTCATAGGTATAAGTATAGCTTGAAATTTATCAAACTGTATATATTAAATATTTAAAAATCCTTGTGTATCAGTTGTAACTTAGTAAAGCCCCTGAAATAAATAAGAACAAACACCCTGAGACTTAGATTCAGAGGTCCAGATGACCAAAATCAGTATAATGGAGACTTTGAGAGAAGGGAATATATATCTGGCTCAGAGGTTTGTTTCCACTACCTGGGCTATGGGCACTGCAGGATGTCTGCTTTGTGTAGCTCAAATATCTGCTTCTATAGTGTTGGAAGCATAGCTGGGAGGTGAGAGAGCATGTGTATTGACAGTTGTCTTCCTACAGATATCTGACCTGCTAATTCTTGGAAGAAAAAGAAGTTGTCTTTCTCCAGAAAGAAAGCAAAACATTTGAACCAATTTGCTTTGTTATGGGCTCCTGACCCCATTTCTTGGTGTCCAACTAGATTAAAACACAGCTCCCCAATATTGAAATTATCAACTTCAAAATGAAACAGAATGCTTCTTTGATTCCGTTCCATTACTATATGACACACCACAAGGATGGATTGATTAGAAAAAGAGCCAAGTGGGCTATTTCGCCTGCTGTCTAATTTATCTGCTGTAGTTTGAATATTTCTTACTAGATAGAGAGGACTGTGTTCACTGCCTCCTGACAACAGTCATGTACCCTGGCCAGCATCATTCTGGCTAGGGTGTCATGTGAGGTGTTTGCTGTCGCCGTAGGCAACACCGTTGACAATGCAAACGCCACCATGGTCTCTGATCTACACAGGCAGGGCAGGTTCAGGCAGCTCAGCCTTTGGCTCAGATTCTTCTCTTGATGCAACAGAGGGATTTCTGCGTATGCTTGAGAAATTACAGGTAAAATGTGCTTTATTTCTCTTTGCCCTTTTTAATTTTGGAAAGGAATGGCAGCTAAGGAGTTACACTTTATAAGTAGGCTCTAGAAAGGAGGCTATCTATAAATTCACTTCAGTGTACAAGTCTGCTGAAGGATGTAACTGGTGTGCCAAAGGTCACAGAAGCAGTGAAGGCTAAGCTGCTGAGTGCTGGTCTCGTTTATGACGGGAAACAGTAGTACTTATTTCTCCTGTGAGGTATTTTTTTTTCCTACAGATGAGTTATAAAATAATACCCTCATGGGGTTTATGAATGGGATTTGGGACATCCTTAGGACCTCGCAGCACTGCTGGAGAGACAAATAGATGTGCTCAGCTTCAGGTTGTCAGTGACTGTTGGCATTTAGAAATCACAGAGATAAATGTCACAGCGGCCCATGGTGGAGTGGACAGGAAGGATGTGTGGGGACAATATGAAATGGGATGAGTTTCTAAGGCTTCAGAGAAGCTAGGACCAAGGTGTGACATGAATACAGAGGGACAGACAGCTGGGATGAATTTAAGAGCTCTGCTCCCGGTTTAGAAAGTTTTATAGGGCTCTGTGGTTTATAACTTCAACGGTATTAATTTCTCACATTGGCAAGACAATTTTCTTTTCTCTTTTTATTTAAATAACATTTTTAAAAAATTTATTTTACATACCCATCAGTTTCCCTCCCTCCTCTCCCCTCATCTCTCACCTTTCCCCCCTCTCCAGCCACTCCTCCATTTCCATTCAGAAAGGGACAGACCTTGCATAAAGCATGGCATCTCAAGTTTGGGCAGGACCTAGCTCCTCTCCTTAGTCCAGGTAGGGCCAGGTAATCCAGCATAGAGAACAGGTTTCCAAAAGCCAGCTAAACACCAGGGAGAGGTCCTGCTCTCACTGTTAGAAGCCTTACTAAGAGATCAAGCTGCTAGGTTGCCACACACATGCAGAAGGCCTAGGTTAGTCCTATGCAGGCTCCCTGACTGTTGGTCTGGTGTCCATGAGCTTCCACGAGCTCAGGTCAGCTGTCTCTGTGGGTTCCCTCATTATGACCCCCCTGGCTGGTACAATCCCTCCTCTCTTTCTCTTGTAAGACTCGGAGCTCAGCGCAGGTGCTACAGTTTTCATGTCTAATTAATAATAATTAAGCCACCAAAGTATTTCAGCCGTTTGTAGATCAAGAAGAAGGAATGAAAGTATTATCACTGGGTGTAGATATGGACCCAGAGGGCTGTGTAGGCGTGTCCCTCTGTGTATCACACATCCTGCTGAGGTAGGGTGAGTGTCTGCACTCTCTCAGGAACAGTGGAGTCAGATGAGATGATCTGAGTGAAAACTTTAGATATAAGATCAAGAGGGAGCTATTTTCACTCAAGGTCCTGGTGCTCTGACTACAGTGCCAACTGTTACACATGCCACAAGAAGATTGGGGATGGGAGCAGTGTTGGAAATCTAGTGAGTCTGCCCTTCCTTCCTGATGAGGAGTTCAGCTCAAAGGCTTTGAGTAGGCACTCAAACGACTCAGGCTGGAGCCCTTCTGGTACCTGGCTCAGTGATGTGATTGCCGTTCATCAGCTGTCTCAACATGAGAAGACTGTCCCTGGTGCCCGTGACTTCTCAATAGGAGGCAGAAATTCTCCCTTGTTCAGAAAACCTTTAGGCCATTTACCATATGTAGCTTTCGTAAAAGTTGGCACAGGGACAATTTATCAAGACCTAATTGGCATTTTCGTTTGCTAACTGTTCTCAAGGTTCTACAAATTGACAGTGATAACTGTGTGGCCATATGAAGCCACATTTAACCCTGAGTACGCCGTGAGCATTCAGCATAGAAACCTACGGATCCCATTTGCTTAATTGACGTGGTCAGGTTGTCCAAGCAGGGAGACCCACATGGCTTGTGTCATCCCGGTGGGTGACATTCAGTGACCTCAGGTGGGCCTGGAACTGGCCTCCATATGGGGACTGTAGAAAACTGGCTTGTTCTACCTCCTCTAGTCCTTGAAGACAGGAGCCGCTTTGCAGGAAGACCACCTTTGGATGCTTACAGAGCCTGCTGCTGCTGGAGGCAGCCGCTCAGCAAAAGTGCGTGGTGGTGGGCTGTGCCCTTGGGTGAGCTAGGGGACCCCGTGGACAGGGCGCCACACAGAAACCATCTGTCACTATAGCCCCAGACTGAAAACCAATGAAATAAAAAGCTCCTATAAATTGAACTTCTTAACAAACCCTAAATTCCTTACTTTATTTGGTAAGTTTTCAGTTAGTGGCTCAACACTGTGACAAAAATATAGTATTTCCTACTCCCCTTTTCAGTAAAACAGAAATTGGCTCATAGTATCACACTATAAACTTAGACAACAAAACAATTATTTAAGTTACTTGCTGGGGCACCATAGCAATCAGTGTTTAGTTTCTGTTTATTTAGTAGCTTAAGTTCATGTGACAGAAACATAACATGAAAGCAAAGTGACACCCATAGAGACTGGGCACTTGCACTGTTGGTGATTCCTTCAGTGTGGTACGGGGCCACGCCGGGGCACTCAGCAGGCAGTGGTGACAGTTCCTTCACTGTGATACAGGACCACGCTGGGGCATTCAGTAGACAGTGGTAACGATTCCTTCAGTGTGATACAGGACCACACTGGAGCATTCAGCAGGCAGTGGTAACCGGCCAAGCTCACAAGGACATTGCAGGTGATCAACAGATGAAAGCGTCAGTTGTAGCTTGTCAAGAGATAAGTCAGGGGGTGCCAACTTTCACATCGACCCCATTTATCTTGAGTTTGTTCACTCACACAACTCTTTTAACCTCTGATCTTTCTTCTTTAGTTAAAACATTTCTTACAGGCATATACTATACACCAAACATACTCCCCCTGCACTGATAGTCAAATAATTTTACATATATGTTAAGTAAATAAAGCCCCAAATTACATATTAAACAGAAAAATAACTAACAAATATTGATAGAACAATCCATAAGATAATGCTTGATGGATGAACCTAAATTTCAGTTAACTATAGACCCTAAAATATGCAAATACCATGCCATTGCATATGGAATTCCTATGAAATAGGAATGAAAATAACTATAGCCGGGGAGCATGGATTCAAGTTACCCCAAATACCATCACATAGACAGCTCTGTAAACTTTTGTGTACTCAGTACCTACCACTTGCAAGAGATGGACCAACACACAAGGAACCCACTTCTATCAACAGGGACAGTCATGGACCAGGAGGCCATGCCCAGTGGGGTGGCAGTGTTTAGAACGTGTGTCACTTCAATATGCCGTTTCATCTTCAGAATAACTATTCTAATTTTAAAAAGTGGCCTGTGTGTGCAGATGACAGGACAGCTTGTGGGACCTGGTTCTTGCCTTGCACCTGGGGATCAAGCTCACCAGGTGTGGTGGCAGATGGCTTTACCAACTGAGCCATCTCTCCGGCCCAGTAGCTAATTTTTGTGAAGAATTGTTTCTTTTCTGGCAGCACTACTTATGGAAACCTGGACTTGGACATACTAGGCAAACATTCTACCTCTGACTTGTACACCCAGCCCTGGAAAGTTGTTTCTGTTCCTGATACCACGCTGAAGAATCAAAAAAGTATTACTCATTTGATTCTTGGACAATGGGGACTTCTAGGTGTAATACTAACTTTGTAATCCTGGCATGAAAACCCCCTACTAATAATAGAATCTTAGTTTAAATAGAGACTTTTGGACATGTTTGCCCTCTACTGTATTGCTTGGTTACAATGCTCATTGTAATTGTGATGCTGTTTTTTTTTTATTTTTTTTGTCATAAAACTGTTGCCTTTGATTAAGAGACTGGCATGAAGTGGACCAGATGTCTTGACTTCTTTTAGTTCAATCAGTCATCACCTTCTTTTAGTTCAAGAAGAATGAGGCAGAGACGCTCCAGGGAGACCTGGACTTCATTTTCCATTTGGCCTTTCCAAAGCAAACAGAGCTGAGATGTCCCTGTCTACCGGCTGCACTGGGTCTACTCTGTGGATTTAACCTTTAAGGAGGTGGGCATCATCGCTGTGAAGAGAAAGGGAAACAAAACTGTTGGCGTTCTGTTTTGAATATTGAAGCAATGCCCCCACACCCTAACCAAACAATCGCCATCCCCCCCCCAGCCTTGAGAGAAAGAGGTTGACAGAGTAACTCATCTCTGGGGTGACTTTTGAGAAGCAGCCTTACCTTAGTTCAAAGTTATATAAGGAAGGTTTTCAAAATTTTGTTTTTGAAAAAAAAAAAAAAACAAACATGCCACACTTCTTCATAAGGTCTGTAAGGCAAAAAGTAGATTTTAAGTAATGTAAAATAGTCAGAAATCACAATAGGTAACAGCTGTGAGGACCAGATGCACACGGTCTTTGTGGTGATACTTATTGCATCTAGGCAGGACTAAGGCTGGTGGGGCTAGTGGAGACTTTTGACCTAAGCCCCACAGGGTGTGCACTGACGAGGGAAACAGCACCTTGGACCATTTTCAGTCCTTTCGGTTTATGTCAATATTTCAGCTATCTGCTGTCTCAGAAGCCACGCCAGAGATAACGTCAAAGTTAACCATCTTAAAACAGAGGCTTGCTATTTCTGCCTAGCTGTACAGTCTGGGCTGACTCAGCTAGGAATGAAAAAAAAATGTGTTCCGTCATCTGATCTGCTGTTGGGGCCCCAGTACAGCTATCACGTTCACAACTTCCCCATCCAGGGCTCTCTTGGAGGAGGTTTCTACAAATCACAGTGTAATTTCTGCTTCGCTCAAATATGAAACTTGTGTGAAGCCAGTGTCTTAGGGCTTTACTGCTGTGAAGAGACGCCATGACCATGGCCACTCTTATAAAGACAAACATTTGGTTGCGGCTGGTTTGCAGTTTCTGAGGCTTATTCCATTATTGTCATGGTGAGAAGCACAGCAACATGGAGGCCAATATGGTGCTGAAGAGGTAGCTAAGAGTTCTACATGTTGACTAGATGAGTC